CAGTTGATGTGTATCTCAGCCCCTCTTCATAGGCTCATAACTCCGGATGTGAGTCTCGTATGATCTCGAGATAAGATGGAATGGAAAGGGCGACTCTACAGATTCAGGAAGTGAACTGGATTTCTGAGCTGGATCATCACAAAGATACACAAACAGATACAGATTACATTTACAGCATTTAGCGGACGCTCTTATCCAGAGCGACTTACAGTTTGATCATCTTTTTTTTACACAGGTAGGTGAAGGTAGTGTTAGGAGTCTTGCCCAAGGACTCTTATTGGTGTAGTGTAGGGTCCATACAGAGGGGCAGGGCAGAGGTGTTACCCGCTACACTACACCACCATAGAAACAGCGTGGGTGAGTTTGTGGACCCCAGAGGGTTAAACTATAGATGAAGTAAACACTTCATTAGGTCGTCTCTGAAGGCCTGTAAGGCCCCATAAACACTAATTACCTGGGCTGCACTGAAATTCTGACCACCAAAAATGATCAGAAGCAGCACAAAGAGAAAAACATCCAGAATTTTAGATTAAAAAGGCCTAGAAGAGTGAAAATCTAAGACTTTCTGAATCATTTTAATGGTGTTGAATGAGAAAAGCTCCCTGTTTGCCTCTGAGAGCTGTTGTCATTGTTGCGCTGAGCTATTTAGACTAATGAGTTTAGACTCTGATTAGTGTGGAGAGAAACGTCTCTGCTGTTTATTCACTGCCCAGTCCGCCAGAGTGGACACTCAGCATTAACAGCAGGTCAAGGCTTTAATCGCAGATTTAATCCCTGTTTACATTTAATCCCCATGAAACCGAATTAACAGATCGGCTCTGCACTGTGTTCTCTATGATCTGAGGTCAGTTCACAGTGTTGAGTGTAGAGTCGGGACTCGGTGCTAGATTCTCTCTGACGTTCTGTTCAGATCAGAAACACTACACAGAACAACCCTCCGACTGAACGAGGACGTTCTGTACACTCTTAAAAAGGGTTCTTCAAGGGTTCTTTAGTAAAGGGATACGTTCTGCTTGTTTTCACGCACTTAAATGGTTCTGTGCATGGTGAAGTGGTTCTTCAGATTGATGGAGAATGTGTTGTATATGGTTCTAGTGTTATAACATCAAGCTTGTAACAATAGAAGAACCCTTTCTGGTGCTATATAGAACCCTATTTGTAAAGATTCTATGTAGAACCATCTACAACAGAACCTGCTGAAGAAAGTTGTTCTTTTCATGGTGATTGAAGGAGAATGTGTTGTATATGGTTCTATGTAGCATCAAAAAAGGTTCTGCTGTTGTTATGACGTCAAGCTTGTAACAATAGCAGACCCCTTTTTAGTGCTATATAGAACCCTATTTGTAAAGATTCTATGTAGAACCATCTACAACAGAACCTGCTAAAGAAAGTTGTTCTTTTCATGGTGATTGAAGGAGAATGTGTTGTAAAAGGTTCTATATAGAACAATCTACAAAAAAAAAGGTTCTTCTATTGTTAAAAGCTTGGCATTGTAAACAACAGCAGAACCCAATTTGGTGCTATATAGAACACATTCTCCTTCAGTCTGAAGAACCATTTCACCATACAGAGACCCATTTAAGCATGCAGATGGTTCTAAAGAACCACTCCCTGTGTTATAGAACCCCTGAAGAACCCTGTTTTTAGGAGCGAGCAGATGTAGAGACATTAAACACTAATTAACTGTTTTGTATAAATATTAAAGTGCCTTACAGTTTTTAAAATTCACTTTTTTCAGTTTTAAATGAAAAATGATGAAAGTGATGACGCGTCGCCGTGGAAACGGCGCAGTCTTTAGCAGCTTTGAGGTGTGTGTGTGTGTGTGTGTGATTGTAGAAGCTCCACTCTGAACTTGCTGGACTGGTCAAACCTCACACTGATGTCCACAGCAGGAGACCGAGTGACCGATCGATCATTTTCATTGGTTATTGATTATTTTGTGATTGTCCAATAGGAACGGTTGTTGCTCTTTTGGACGACGCTATTAGTTGATTATGATGTCTCTCTGTGACCACGGAGAACATCTCCATGACAACCAGCATTAGGGGGCGGAGTGGGCAGGGCTCATAGATGAGTCGCCGCGGCGATGACGGATTTGACCTTTGACCCTACAGGACAATCCTGTGTTTTATTTTTGTGTTTTCATCTAAATTCTGTTACTCTTTTAGTTTTTCACAACTGTGTAGCCTTGTGTTTATGATTTCAGCGTTATTTTTGTTTGTGTTTATGATTTCAGTGTTATTTTTGTTTGTGTTTATGATTTCAGTGTTATTTTTGTTTGTGTTTATGATTTCAGCGTTATTTTTGTTTGTGTTTATGATTTTGGCGTTATTTTTGTTTGTGTTTATGATTTTGATGTTATTTCTGTTTGTGTTTATGATTTCAGTGTTATTTTTGTTTGTGTTGTTGTTTTTGAACTAACCGCTGTTTCTCCTCCACGTCTGAGAAACTCCTTTAGTGTTCCAGACGTAAACAGCAGAACCGGCTGCATTCTGACTCAGTTCTGCAAACATGGGAGTAAATGTCACACAGGATGTGGAGACGATACAGAACCTCTGTACTTAAGTACAGGTAGAAATGATCTTGATAAAATATTGTGTTAGTAGAACTAAAGTAAAGACAAAGTCTTTGTTTTCTCATTCTGAGCTGAAATTTGTCAACATTACACTGTTACAGCTTATAATCTAGAACTACCAAGCTCTGCAGGATCGTAGAACCGATACCTAAACAGTGGTCTTGCACTTTGGGCAGATCAGGCGTGTAGTTTTTGCACAGCATTCATGTTAATAAATGTTTTCTCCATAGGAAAATTCAAATCTGCCACAAATGATCACACAGTACTAACAACCACCTGGAAACCACCGAGGAAGGCCTGGCAGCTCTGAGCGATAACACAGTCACCTCCAGTTCCATAGCAACCACTGAATCATTACCACTGCAGCAACCTAGCAACCATCTAACAGCTGCCTTGCAACGCCCTAGCAAGCAGCATAGCAACCACCTAGCAACACTCTGTCAACCACTTAAGATATCTTAGCAACCACCTGAGAAACCACAGCAACCACCAACCAGCACCCTAGTGACCATCTGCAATACCATCGCAACCACCTAGCAACACTCAATCAACCACTTAAGATACCCTAGCAACCACCTGAGAAACCACAGCAACCACCAATCAACATCCTAGCAACCATCTGCAATACCATAGCAACCACCTAGCAACACTCTATCAACTGCTTAAGATACCCTAGCAACCAACTGAGTAACCAGGGCAACCTCCAACCACCACCCTAGCGACCATATGCAATACCTTAGCAACCACCTAGCAACACTCTATCAACCACTTAAGATACCCTAGCAACCACCTGGGAAACCACATTAACCACCAACAAGCATCTTAGCAACTATTTGTAATACCATAGCAACCACTTAGCAACACTATCAACCACTTAAGATACCCTAGCAACCACCTGGGAAACCAAAGCAACCACCAACCAACACCCTAGCGGCCATCCACAATACCATAGCAACCACCTAGCAACATTTAAGATACCCTAGCAACCACCTGGGAAACCACATTAACCACCAACAAGCATCTTAGCAACTATTTGTAATACCATAGCAACCACTTAGCAACACTATCAACCACTTAAGATACCCTAGCAACCACCTGGGAAACCACAGCAACCACCAACCAACACCCTAGCGACCATCTGCAATACCATAGCAACCACCTAGCAACACTATGATTTTAGATTTTGAGACATTCAGGGGGTCCTAGAGGTTAATCGGGGCTCTCGGACCCCCCAGGGCCCCCTGTATTTCGCACCTTGATCAAAGGTCTAAGTTCTGAGGGTTCAGATCGTTAACGTGTTACATTAATCGGATGATTTAAACTGAAGTTTAAGAAGTTTTCATTAAACGTTTTATAACCTTTACTGTAGTTTTCACTGCTGATACTGAAACACCATTTAACAGCAGGTGCTTCTGTAAAGATACTGAAAGTGCCGTTTTACCAAAAGTGTTTCTGTTTACTTAAGTACAGCAGTTCTGTACGTCGTCCACTGGGGGCGCTGTGAGTACTGGGATGTGATCTATATAGTGAGCTGTATACAGAGTGTGATTTGATCTGTGATATATAAGGGGCTGTGGTGTGTTCGGGGGGGTGATCTATAAAGAGTGAGGTTCTCTGTGGATCTGAACTCTGTTCTTCCTGTTGTTTTTGATCCTGTAGTTTGTTTTTCTGGCTCTGTGAGGACTCTGAGTGTGTGTGTAATCTGAGAGTGGAGTGATGAAAAACAGTAAAAAGGATAAAAAGCAAACCGCTGCTGTCTTTGTGTGTGAAAGAGTGAAATACAGAAAGAGTGAACGATCTTTCACCTTTATATCATAACTCAGTGTGAGAGGTGTAATCAGAGAGATTCAGAGAGATTCAGAGAGGTTTGGTGTGAAATGGTTCAGATGTCTTTACAGTGGTGGTGATAGGAACCAGGGGTCGCCATGACTACAACACAGATATAGACATTTTATTTACTATCCAGAACCACCAGTGAACCTACACGAGTCTTCTGAGTTTATATGAATGTTGATGATGAAAATAGTGGAGAATCTGAAATAATAAGTTTTCTTTGGGGACTATTTTGCCTCACAGCGCCCTGCATGTATCCCTCCACCATGAATGGAGTTTAAGTTCTCTAAACTATCATAAAACAGTGTCTCAGTCATCAGGCAGTGAATTCATAACCATTTACTGTAGGAACTTTCTGTGAGGGAGCTTTTAGAGGTGGACGTCTTGTTCCTATCACCACCACTGTGAACAGTTCTGACTCGGTAAGTTTATCTAGAACAGAGTGTTTCACACCAAACCACTCTGAACCGCTCTGAACTACACTGAACCGCTCTGAACATCTCTGAACCTCTCTGATTATATCTTAATCGTTTAATTATGGAGAATTTTGAAATTTGGTAGAGTTCCTCTTTGAGTTGACACATTTGAAATTGCATAACCAGTTATCAATGTTCTAAATAATATTGGATTATTAAACCTATAGACCCTAGTTAGGTGACGCACACCTGGGCGTTTTTTGGTAACAGTTGAACTAAATGATGCTCATTCAAACAATAATTAACATAATTTTTACAGTAACTTTCAGTAATAACTTTTGGAAAAACATCTAAAAGTTATTAGAAATAATGTTAATAATTTTATATGTGTGTGTAATTAATCAGTAATACAGAGTATAATTAAACAGTAATATACTGTAAACAGTAGAAGAGTTTATAATTAATCAGAAATACAGAGTAATTAAACAGTAATACAGAGTATAATTAAACAGTAATACAGAGTATAATTAAACAGTAATACAGTCAGTAAAGAAACAGTAGTACAGAGAGTAATTAAACAGTAATACAGAGAGTAATTAAACAGTAATACAGTCAGTAATTAAACAGTAATACAGTCAGTAATTAATCAGTAATACACAGAGTAATTAAACAGTAGTACAGAGAATAATTAAACAGTAATACAGTCAGTAATTAAACAGTAATACAGTCAGTAATTAATCAGTAATACACAGAGTAATTAAACAGTAGTAAAGAGTAATTAAACAGTAATACAGAGAGTAATTAAACAGTAATACAGTCACTAATTAATCAGTAATACACAGAGTAATTAAACAGTAGTACAGAGAGTAATTAAACAGTAATACAGTCAGTAATTAAACAGTAATATAGTGAGTAATTAAACAGTAATACAGTCAGTAATTAATCAGTAATAGAGTATAATTAAGCAGTAATATACTGTAAACAGTAGAAGAGTTTATAATTAATCATTAATACAGAGAGTAATTAAACAGTAATACAGTCAGTAATTAAACAGTACAGAGTAATTAAACAGTAATACAGTGAGTGATTAATCAGTAATACAAAGAGTAATTAAACAGTAATACAGAGAGTAATTGAACAGTAATACAGAGAGTAATTAAACAGTAATACAGTCAGTAATTAAACAGTAATACAGAGAGTAATTAAACAGTAATACAGAGAGTAATTAAACAGTAATACAGAGAGTAAACAGTACTACAGTGAGTAATTAAACAGTAATACAGTGAGTAATTAAACAGTAATACAGTCAGTAATTAATCAGTAATACAGAGTATAATTAAGCAGTAATATACTGTAAACAGTAGAAGAGTTTATAATTAATCATTAATACAGAGAGTAATTAAACAGTAATACAGTCAGTAATTAAACAGTAATACAGAGTAATTAAACAGTAATACAGAGAGTAATTAATCAGTAATACAGTGAGTAATTAAGCAGTAATAGAGACAGTAGTACAGACAGTAGGCGAGCTGCTGCTGGAGGAGGAGGAGGAGGAGGATCTGTGCAGGAAACGTGCTGTTTGGTGATAAAGGGCTGTGAAGGCTGTTTAAAGCTGCGGTGGAGAAACAGAAACAGAAGCTCCAGAGCAGCTCAGCAGGAGAACCTTCAGCAGAGAAACGTGAGTCTGAACATCCTGAACTCTTTAATAATAATAATAATAATAATAATAATAATAATAATAATAATAATAACTAAATTCAGTTTTATGCAGTATTGAGGTGAGGTGAATATGGAATAAGTTGAATGAAAGTATATTAATTATATTAGTGAAAATATATTAAGTTTTATTGTTTAAAAACCTCTTTGTTTAATAAATGAAGCTGTTTTTCTGGAACATATTTTGCCCAAGATGTAAATGAATTAGTTTGACTCTGTGCATCATGAAATGTCAAATTTCACCAGTTCAGCTGTTCTGAATTCAGAAATACGGTTTATAGATATACTGAACATGTGAATGTAACCAGGTGAAATGTTTAGTACTTAAATGTAGACTGTAAACACCTTACAGTACAAACAATCCCCAGCATTCTGGATGTCTGCCTTTGGAAACATCCCAGTCTTTTATTTGGTAATTCTAGTAACTTAACCCTAAACCTAACCCAACCCCCCCAACCCTAAACCCCTAACCCTAACCCTAAACCCTAACCCAACCCCCCTAACCCTAAACCCCTAACCCTAACCCTAAACCCCTAACCCTAAACCCCTACCCCTAACCCTAAACCCCTAACCCTAACCCCCCTAACCCTAAACCCCTACCCCTAACCCTAAACCCCTAACCCAACCCCCCTAACCCTAAACCCCTACCCCTAACCCTAAACCCCTACCCCTAACCCTAAACCCCTAACCCTAAACCCCTAACCCAACCCCCCTAACCCTAAACCCCTACCCCTAACCCTAAACCCCTAACCCAACCCCCCTAACCCTAAACCCCTACCCCTAACCCTAAACCCCTAACCCAACCCCCCTAACCCTAAACCCCTACCCCTAACCCTAAACCCCTACCCCTAACCCTAACCCCCCTAACCCTAAACCCCTAACCCTAAACCCCTACCCCTAACCCAACCCCCCTAACCCTAAACCCCTACCCCTAACCCTAAACCCCTACCCCTAACCCACCCCCCCTAACCCTAAACCCCTACCCCTAACCCAACCCCCCTAACCCTAAACCCCTACCCCTAACCCTAAACCCCTACCCCTAACCCTAAACCCCTACCCCTAACCCAACCCCCCTAACCCTAAACCCCTAACCCTAAACCCCTAACCCTAAACCCCTAACCCTAACCCCCTAACCCTAAACCCCTAACCCTAAACCCCTACCCCTAACCCAACCCCCCCAACCCTAAACCCCTAACCCCAACCCTAAACCCCTAACCCTAACCCTAAACCCCTAACCCTAAACCCCTAACCCTAACCCCCCTAACCCTAAACCCCTAACCCTAAACCCCTACCCCTAACCCTAAACCCCTAACCCAACCCCCCTAACCCTAAACCCCTAACCCTAACCCTAAACCCCTAACCCTAAACCCCTACCCCTAACCCTAAACCCCTAACCCTAACCCCCCTAACCCTAAACCCCTAACCCAACCCCCCTAACCCTAAACCCCTACCCCTAACCCTAAACCCCTAACCCTAAACCCCTAACCCTAACCCTAAACCCCTAACCCTAACCCTAAACCCCTAACCCTAACCCTAAACCCCTAACCCTAAACCCCTAACCCTAACCCTAAACCCCTAACCCTAACCCCCCTAACCCTAAACCCCTACCCCTAACCCTAAACCCCTAACCCAACCCCCCTAACCCTAAACCCCTAACCCTAACCCTAAACCCCTAACCCAACCCCCCTAACCCTAAACCCCAAACCCTAACCCCATCCCTATCCCCAACCCTAAACCCCAAATCCTAACCCCACCCCTATCCCCAACCCTAAACCCCGGCCCCCCACTGACTGTTTGCCACTGCTGGTCCACCTTCGGACCACCCAGATTACTGTCCTGCAAACAAGCTCTAATTTAATCTTCCCAAACAGATTTTAAACGCAGAGAGACTTTATTGTAGAAAATAAACTGAGACAAATATTACAAACAACTGAGAGAAGAAAAAATAACGACTAGGCCTGAAATGAAATGATTTTATATAAGTCGCTGCTGTCGAAACAAAACCTTGTATCTCAAAAACGGAAACTTTACAGGAGAAGAAAAAAACATACTGTACTTTTAATGTAAGTCAATGGAACCAGAATCTTTTCCAAGTCATTCTGGGTCGTTTCTTTTGGTCCATTCATCATGAAATTTACACACAGTGTCAAGAAGAACAGGCGTTTTCAGATTACGTCAAAAAACTGAAAAACAACAAAAATGATGAGATTTGGTTCCGACAGCAGTGAAGTGTTGTTGCTGATGCTGAGCCAGATTAACTAACTAGTAAACTAACTATTTACTAAACTAATGTATAAAGTAAAACTAAAGAAAGGAGGAAGGAAAGCCAGTAAACTGGACTGTGAGGGAAAATGAGTGATGATCAGTTTTGTCTATCACTCTGCTGAACCACCAGTGGGCCATCCGGAAAACGCTGAGCAAAACACCAGGGGACCACCAGCTCTGCCATCAGTGGGCCGGCAGTGGCCCACTGTCCTCTTACTATCAGGGAAAGTGTGACTTTTAATTTGGTAAAAGGAAAATGAGCCAAATACGTCACAGTAATCTGTTATAACAGCTTTATTATGATCGATTATTGTAATAAGGCTTTTATTTGTACAGTGTCTTTCATACACAGTGGTTCTTCACACAAACACAGAAATAAAGGCACTAGATAATAAAGCTGAAGGTGTCCTGAGACCTGAGCACCTCAGAGAGGCTTTTACAGAAATACTTACAAAAAATCAACACGTATGAAAATGAGAAGCAGAAATGAAATTAAATGACTGTAATAACATCATAACTGACGCGTCTCAGTCTGAATGTCAGACTCTAACGTTCCTGATCTGTTGTGGTCAGAATGCTCCTCTTCCTCGGCCTCTTCCTCCTGGTTCCTCCGTTCCTGGCGGTGACGTCCAGCGGTTGCCGTAGCGACAGGAACACTGACCACAGGCCGCGGGTCAGCTGCGTTAATCAGAGTCTGACCGCAGTGCCTGCTGGGATCGACGTGGGGACGGAGGTGTTGGTTCTTTCCCAAAATGAGTTCACCTCGCTGTCCTGGGCCGCCTACAGCGCCTACGCACAGCTTCACGAGCTGGACCTGAGCCAGAACCACATCAGGGTCATCGACCCGTCAGGTGAGACTGGGGGGCGGAGCTTCAACCCCTTAAAGCCCAGGCTTATTACATACTGGGGCTTATTATTCAGTAACTACAGGGACTTTAGTGCAAACTGGCTGACTCTATTCATTTAGAGTCAGTTATTCATTCAGCCTAATGAGAAACTGTAGACCAGACTGAGTTTATATCACAATACCTACATTTAGAGTCAGTTATTCATTCAGCCTAATGAGAAACTGTAGACCAGACTGAGTTTATATCACAATACCTACATTTAGAGTCAGTTATTCATTCAGCCTAATGAGAAACTGTAGAACAGACTCAGTTTATATCACAATACCTACATTTAGAGTCGGTTATTCATTCAGCCTAATGAGAAACTGTAGAACAGACTCAGTTTATATCACAATTAGAGTCAGTTATTCATTCAGCCTAATGTCTTTGTAAATTTCTGATTGTGACTGAACCCCCTGGCTGGTCTCTCTCAGGTCCAGTGCTGGAGAAGCTCAGTGTGCTGCGGTTGTCCAATAACAAGCTGGAAGGTTTGGGTGGCCGGGTGTTCCGCTTTGCTCCTGCGCTGATGGAGGTGTATCTGGACAGAAACGCCCTCCGCACCCTTCATGATGCCACCTTCGGTGACCTTCCACTCTTAGAGGTCATTGACCTCTTTGGGAACCAGCTACCCGCACTGCCCCATCGCCTGCTGGAGTCTGTCACCTCCACCAGCCTCAAGACCTTTGACCTAGAAGATAACCGTGTCCAACACTTGCCTGATGAGTTCTTCTCCTCCAAGCCTGAGCTGCCTTATGTCTTCCTGTCCAAGAACCGCTGGCTTTGCAGTTGCCAGGTGGGCTACCTGCAGAAATACCTAGAGGATCAGGGTCACAATGTGTATAAACACACCAATCACACCATGGACCTGAAAGCCAGCGTTGAGAATGACCCAGAGAGTGTGGTGTGTTTTGAGCCACTATTCATGAAAGGGATGGTCATCGTGGACCTGGAGGAAGATCAATACTGCAGTGCAAACGTACCAATGCCTCCAGTGCAGTCCCATGAAATGACCTCTACATTCAGTCAACCAACAACAGCACCTGAACCCACAACCTCAAAAATGATCCCAACAACCACTAAGCCAGGCATCACAACACAGTCACCCACGGTTACCCCAACAATGAGCTCCAAGATCAATGAGCCAGCTACCACAACGAGTACCCTTTCAACCCCAAAAACAGCCTCAACAAGCAGTACACCTGCAAGTAGCCACTCTCTGCCAGCCTCCACCATGTCTAGCATCTGGACCAGATTTGAATTCTGGACTGTCCAGCATTTTTGGACTGAAGTCTGGTCCGAATGGATCTCAGAATCCAGGGCATTCAACATCACCAAGAGAATTGAACTCTATTCCACAGCCTCTACAAGCCATGAGAAGAATTCTACCGCACTTCCTACTTCCACTCTTGATCCAGGAACCTCATTGGTCCCATTGCCCTGGACATCTCCAGAGCCTGCTACACCTGAACCCCAATCCACATCCTCTACCGGCCACCCGAGGACCTCTAGAGCACCCCCTACCTCCGTTCCTGGTCTAGAAACCTTGATTCCCTTCGACCATGCCTCAGGTGAATCCAGATCAGTGTCCGGCTGCATGGTGCCATGGTGCTGGTGGCTGTTTGCTGGCTTTTTGCCGCTTTGCATTCTCTCAGCGCTCTGCTCCTGCATGCTCTTCCTCTGGATCCTCATCACCTACCTCACCCTGTACCGGCCAATCCAGAGGAAACTTCGCAAGCAGGGCGGAGGAGTGACCCTGCTGACCTTCCGAAACACTCTGGACAGAGTGGGAGGAGGGGAGCTGGGGAGCGAGACGGTGAAGTTCTTAGCTCCAGAGAAGATACCGATAGAGAGCCAGGCCGTGTTCCGCTCAGTTCTGTTCATCGAGAAAGGAGACGAGGAGGTAGGGGAGGACGGAAGGAGAGAGGGAGCGAGGGACGAGGATAGAGGAGATACCGCGACTAGAATAGAACTGGTGCCAGCAGCAGAGGAGGAAAGGATGGAGGTGACGATGCGGAGGGAGAAAGAAGGAGGGAGAGAAGCGACAGACAGGAAGGAGATGTTCAGGAAGACCCTGTACAGGGAGATAAGCCGAGAGGAAGAGATAGAGGGATGGAAGGAGGTGGAGGAGAGCTGGGGGATGCCGGAGAGAAGGACGACTGAGAGGAGGAAGACGCGGTACAGCCTGATCCTGAGGGAGGAGAATGGCGGTGTGGAGGACATGGGAGGAGGGCTGGAGTGGTTGGTAGGAGAGTGGGAGATGGGGGGAGGAGGACAGATGAAGGAGGGGAGCTGGGGGTCTCTGATTAGAAAGATAGAGGGTGGGGCTTCCTTCACCCCGCCCACACCTGTGGCAGGGTCGCAAACCAACACATCTGAGGGTGGCGGGGCTACTGCGGATGGAGAAGGGTGTACATCGGGGGGAGGTGGGGCTACACAATAAGGAAAGTTGGGCTACATCTGAAAGAGGTGGGGCAAAACATGAAGGGGTGGGGCTATATCTAAGGGAGGCGGGTTACAGCTGAAGGGGTGGGGCTTCATATGTGGAAGGCAGATGGGGTTTTTACTAAAAAGAGGAGGTACTATACTTGATGGAGGCAGAACTACATTTGAAGGGGTGGGGCTACATCTGTGGGAGGGAGGTGGGTTTTACCTAAAGGGGCAGGGCTACATCATTGTTAGTGAGTGAGTGCAGAAGCAGCTTATTGGCTGCTGTAAATAAGATGATTTTCCTATATCAGGTTATATAGATCAGCTAATAACAGTGTAATTAAACCCACAGGCAGAGGCGTGTCTGGGTGGGCGGGGATCTTTCTCTCTGTTGCTTGTGTAGTTTTTTTGGAGGAGTGTTTTAGCCTCTGTTCAGGTTCTGTAAAGGTTCTCAGAGCTGGTTCCTCCAGCATGGCGCTCTCATACTGTATTTGACTGTCAGTACTCAGTGAAGTATCTGTGCAGAACAGTACAGCATCTGTTTCCTGCTCCAGCCCTGAGAGCTGCTCTGGCTCTGGGGGGTATTTGTGGCTCATGACTGATACCAGAATTCAGGAAATGATCCAGAGCAGCATATATATATATATACACATATATATATATATATGTGTGTGTGTATATATATGTATATATATATATATATATATATATATATATATATATATATATATATGTATCGCTGCTGTCAGAAGAAAACCTTGTATCTCCAAAGGTATAACTTTACAGGAGAAGGAAAAAACCTACTTTACTTTTAATGTAAGTCAATGGAACCAGACGTCTTTCTAAGTAATTGTGGACCGTTTCTTTTGGTCCATTCATCATGAAATTTACACACAATTTTAAAGCCAACAGGTATTTTCAAATTATGTCAAAAACTGAAAAACAACAAAAATGGAGATATGAGTTTTGTTCCGACAGCAGCGATATGTATATATGTGTATATATATGTGTGTGTATATATATATATATATATATATATACACACACACACATAACAAAACCTCACACTAAATAGTAAACAGCATGTAGAGGTGTGCGCTATTACTGTAAACACCAGCTCTAAACTGTTCTCAAAATAACCTTGAAGGTGATCTATTTTTTGTTTATTGTGTTTTTATCCTGCTGAAAAAATCCTATGAATGATTAAAAGGTTCTGCTGGTTCCTGATGGTGTCTAATAGCCAGTAATGGTGTTCTGTGTTTTCCTGATGGGTTGATATCACAGTATAACGGACTCTAAAGGACTAACAGGTGTTCTGATTCCAGATGCGTCTGATGGTTTCCTGATGGGATCTAAAGGTGTCCTACAGGGACTCAAATGGTAACCATTAGGCCAATCCCCATTAGAAAGCAAACACATCTCAGTCCTAATGGTTTTGATTGCCTTTTTTAACAGGGAACGCCCACAGTGTGATTAATGTTATTTATCTTTGCTGTTTAATAAACAGTAAATAACTCGGAGGAACGAATTTGGACCTTTTATTCTAAGAGGTACACAGTACACCTATAGCTGCTGTTCCTCCTTCTGTCCACCAGGTGTCCCTGATGGGCATCCACAGTTAAAGAACCCTCAAAGCAGATCTGTTCCAGTTTAATCCAGAAATCTTTCTTAACCATCTTCAGTTTTTCTGAAATCATCTTTATTCCTTTACTCCTTCATCTGTGTTGTTTACTCTCTCTCTTCTTTGCGCTGCCAGATTTGTAACACCACAAAAAAAAATAAAATTACAATAAAAACGATAAAAAGCCTCACAAAGCTTCATTTTTGCATTCACTGCAGCTTCACAACCTCAAAGTGTAAAACTAAAACCACTGAAATAGTTAAATTAGCAAAAATCACCACAATCTCTCAAATTTCTAAAAATCTACCTGCTGCTCCTTCGGAGCCCTGAGCGAGGACGCTGCCCTCACACATGCCTGTTTGAAAAGAATCCGTAATGTGAATAAAAAAGAAATAAACACTGAAACATGGGTAACATGTACGGATATCAAAGTCACGACGATTTAAATGAACGGAGTTGATATATTTGAATATTTATCGTTTTCTACTGTAAAATAGAGCATTATTTACAGGCAACGGCGACCATAGAGTCCACGGTTCCAATAAGCGCGCTAGTCCCCTAGCTAGGGCGCCTAGCGAGTGAGCAGAGGGCGGTCGGGAACATTCGCCACATCCGGGAGATTCAGCGAGTGCACTAGTGCGCTTATTGGAACACGGTGCTGTCTGCTCTGTCGGCCGCCGCTGAGTGAAGACGGAAGGTAAATAACTCACAAAATACCAAAATACCCGATTATCTCTCTTTTTTCTCCCTCGGAGATTCATAAACTCACACTTTATAAATACAATAAACTCACACTTTATAAATAAATCAGTGGTTTCTCTCTAAGAGCGCCTTTAAACGGTTAGAGAGCCGCTTGTCCGCTGCTGTTTGTGCCCCGGAGCGGTTTATTGATCTGCCGGTGTAAAATAAAATAAATCGGTTTAATCGTCTCATCAAATCATTTCCGAAGCGAAACCGAGGCGGATCTACAGAAGCGAACCGCCTCAAATGGTGGAGAACAGAACCACAGTTACTGCTGGGAAAAGAACGAAGTTGGCTCCTGTTTCGAATTCCCCGGTCCACCTTAAATGGTGCCGCAGTCACAGCAGTAACTGTTGTACCATTTAAGGTGGACCGGAGAATTGTGATCTGTTTTGGGAGAAACACTCACTCCACTCACTCCACTCTGATACAGTAGGAGCTCACTCACTCCACTCACTCCGCTCTGATACAGCAGGAGCTCACTCACTCCACTCACTCCGCTCTGATACAGTAGGAGCTCACTCCACTCACTCCACTCAGATACAGTAGGAGCTCACTCACTCCACTCACTCCGCTCTGATACAGTAGGAGCTCACTCCACTCACTCCACTCTGATACAGTAGGAGCTCACTCACTCCACTCTGATACAGTAGGAGCTCACTCACTCCACTCACTCCACTCTGATACAGTAGGAGCTCACTCCACTCACTCCACTCTGATACAGTAGGAGCTCACTCACTCCACTCACTCCACTCTGATACAGTAGGAGCTCACTCCACTCACTCCACTCTGATACAGTAGGAGCTCACTCACTCCACTCTGATACAGTAGGAGCTCACTCACTCCACTCTGATACAGTAGGAGCTCTGGTAATAAGAATAAAGTGTTCGTGTTTGTCTCTGATGTCCGGTCCGTCCTGCAGATGACCGTCCATAACCTGTACATCTTCGACCGTAACGGAACCTGCCTGCACTACAGCGAGTGGAACCGTAAGAAGCAGGCAGGGATCTCCAAAGAGGAGGTGAGAACCAGCCACACAGAACAAAGAGAACCAGCGCACTCCACACCCACCAGGCCCAGCCTGAGTGAGCTGAGCTCTGGATTAAACTGGCTTTCCCGTCCGTTTATTGGTCTGTAATGAGAATCAGACCCCGTTCACACCTGGTCGTCTCACCTGAATCAGAATCCAGATTCAGTTTTTCCACCTTTACCTCCTCTGTAGGGGAAACAGGCCCTGTAATTGATTATTTAACTCGATGATTGTTTTATTATATTTGAGATTTTTGAGTTTAAAGTCCTTGTTTTTTCCATTCCTTTACGATTTTATCTTTTATAATCACTTATTTGTGCTGTTTAAACCATTATTTATTTATTTATTATTTTAGAAATGTTATGACATTTTATTCTCCACACAGTTTTCTGATCCCTCTTATATGGTGGTGTTTACTTGCCTTCCTCCCTGTAAAGCACTTTGAGCTGCATATTAATGTGTAAAAGGTGCTACATAGATAAACTTTATCATTATTATTATTGGTATCATTATGATTATTATTATTGGTATCATTATGATTATTATTATTGGTATCATTATGATTATTATTATTGGTATCATTATGATTATTATTGAGTTCTCAGTGCTGGTAATTTCCCAGGTCGAGTCAGTCTGACTGTGATTTAGACTCCAGCTTGTGTTCACACTGAACCAGATCCAGATTAATTACCATTAACACATAAGCAGCAAACTGTTAGTGAAGGACGTCTGAATTAACATCTGGACCAAAACAAAAACTTTCATATGTGGTTCTAGATTGGATATATATCTATCTTGGATATACATATATATATATATATATACATATATATATATATATATATACATATACATATCCAGATTGGATGTTGGAGTAACGGCTGCTGTTCTGTGTTTGTCCAGGAGTTTAAGCTGATGTACGGGATGCTGTTCTCCATCCGCTCCTTCGTCAGCAAGATGTCTCCACTCGACATGTATCCTCCAGCGCTGTGCCTGCGGGGGGCTTTACTCGAGCGTGGTGGGGGCTTTAATTGAGCGTGGTGGGGGGGCTTTACTCAAGCGTGGTGGGGGGGCTTTACTCGAGGGTGGTGGGGGGCTTTACTCGAGCGTGGTGGGGGGCTTTACTCAAGCGGGGGGGCTTTACTCGAGCGTGGTGGAGGGGCTTTACTCGAGCATGGTGGGGGCTTTACTCGAGCGTGGTGGGGGGGCTTTACTCGAGCGTGGGCTGATCAGACGGTTCGTGATGCTCGATACGTTTCGTGTTCTTCTGGGGTTTGAAGCCCGTCGGCGATCAGAGCTCCGTTAATCACTGTCTGGGATGTAATATGCAAAATTGAACTTTCTAAGAAGGAAAGAGTTTAAATCAAAGCTCTGGTTTAAAATGAGTGATCAAAGATGATGATGTCATAACAAGCTGCCGTCCAATCAGCTTCTTCTTCCTGTGCAGGTTATAAAGTCACTGTACGCTGGGTTTCTGTTTCTGGTCTAAGTTTGTGTTTATTGTATAAACTCAGAAGATGACGGACGTCCGGAGAGGCCATGGGGTAGATACGGCTCTCTGAACTGTTATCCTGAGATCACAGCTTAATTATCTTGTGATTTCAAGATTGTCAAGTATGCAGCTTCTATTATCTTGAGATCACGAAAAAAATAAGTTGTGATCTCAAGAAAAAATCACAAGGCAGATAAGTCATGATTTGAAGAAAACGATTCAGAAGATTATAACTACCTCATCCCATCACGGCAGTGTGTGAAACCCCCTGGTATTCGGGGGTCTCGTGTCTGTCTGCTGACTCTCTCTCCATAGCGGCGCTGATGCTTCAGTGTCAGTAAATGTCTGTTTTATCAGCTGTTCTTCTGTAGAGTCTCTGTTCTAGTGCGGTTCTGCGCTCTTCCTCACAGTAACTGAGATCTTCCTCGTCTCCTCTTCTGTAGAGTCTCTGTTCTAGTGCGGTTCTGCGCTCTTCCTCACAGTAACTGAGATCTTCCTCGTCTCCTCTTCTGTAGAGTCTCTGTTCTAGTGCGGTTCTGCGCTCTTCCTCACATTAACTGAGATCTTCCTCGTCTCCTCTTCTGTAGAGTCTCTGTTCTAGTGCGGTTCTGCGCTCTTCCTCACATTAACTGAGATCTTCCTCGTCTCCTCTTCTGTAGAGTCTCTGTTCTAGTGCTGTTCTGCGCTCTTCCTCACATTAACTGAGATCTTCCTCGTCTCCTCTTCTGTAGAGTCTCTGTTCTAGTGCGGTTCTGCGCTCTTCCTCACAGTAACTGAGATCTTCCTCGTCTCCTCTTCTGTAGAGTCTCTGTTCTAGTGCGGTTCTGCGCTCTTCCTCACAGTAACTGAGATCTTCCTCGTCTCCTCTTCTGTCTTCAGTGTGAGAAATGAGGAACAGTCACTCTTCACTCCAAACTCTTGGGAAACTGGGCGAGTTTTCAGATTTACAGATCTGCTGCAGCTCATTGTAAAGTGTTTCAGAGGAATCCGGGCAGAGTTACAGTTTCTAGGCTATGAAGGACCAACTGGGTGAACCAGTCTGCTACAGCGCCACCCTGAGGCAGAGCAGAGCTGCAGCTCTAGTTAGTTAAGGACACCAGAGACAGAAGCTGATTGTGGGGGAAGCAGATAAACAATCAGCTTCACTGAGTCTGGATCTGAGTCTGTTTTTCAGCGTAACGTCATAATGAGTTTATTATCAGGGACCCCCAGAACTTTGATTCTGAGACCCTCACTCCTTGATGCCGTGTCTCCCAGCCTGACTGCACTGCAGCCTGTGTTGTTGGTGACCGGACGTGTTCCGAGCTGCAGGTTCGTACGAACGCTGTTGGCCGTGTGTTTGTGTTCGTTTCCTTGACTCGCTGTTTCAGGAAGGACGGGTTTATCTCCTTCCAGACGAGTCGGTACAAACTTCACTACTATGAGACCCCCACAGGGATTAAGCTGGTGATGAACACGGACCTGGGGGTCCCGAACTGCAGGGACATCCTACACCAGCTCTACAGCACGGTCAGTCTGTCTGTGTGAGTGTCTGTGTGTGTGTGTGTGTGTGTGTTAATGTGTGTGTGTGTGTGTGTGTCTGTGTTAATGTGTGTGTGTGTGTTAATGTGTGTGTGTGTGTTAATGTGTGTGTGTGTGTGTATGTGTGTGTTAATGTGTGTGTTAATGTGTGTGTGTGTGTGTATGTGTGTGTTAATGTGTGTTAATGTGTGTTAATGTGTGTGTGTGTGTGTGTGTGTGTTAATGTGTGTATGTGTGTGTTAATGTGTGTGTGTGAGTGTTAATGTGTGTGTGAGTGTTAATGTGTGTGTATGTGTGTGTTAATGTGTGTGTGAGTGTTAATGTGTGTGTGTGTGTTAATGTGTGTGTGTGTGTGTGTGTGTGTGTTAATGTGTGTGTTAATGTGTGTGTGTGTGTGTGTGTGTGTGTGTGTGTGTGTTAATGTGTGTGTGTGTGTGTGTGTGTTAATGTGTGTGTGAGTGTGTGTGTGTGTGTGTGTGTGTGTGTTAATGTGTGTGTGTGTGTGTGTGTGTGTTAATGTGTGTGTGTGAGTGTGTGTGTGTGTGTGTGTGTGTTAATGTGTGTGTTAATGTGTGTGTGTGTATATGTGTGTTAATGTGTGTGTGAGTGTGTGTGTGTGTGTGTGTGTGTGTGTTTGTGTGTGTGTGTGTGTGTGTTAATGTGTGTGTGTGTATATGTGTGTTAATGTGTGTGTTAATGTGTGTGTGTGTGTGTGTGTGTGTGTTAATGTGTGTGTGTGTGTGTGTGTGTTAATGTGTGTGTGAGTGTGTGTGTGTGTGTGTTAATGTGTGTGTTAATGTGTGTGTGTGTATATGTGTGTTAATGTGTGTGTGAGTGTGTGTGTGTGTGTGTTAATGTGTGTGTTAATGTGTGTGTGTGTGTGTGTTAATGTGTGTGTTAATGTGTGTGTGTGTGTGTGTGTGTGTGTGTTAATGTGTGTGTTAATGTGTGTGTGTGTGTGTGTGTGTTAATGTGTGTGTGTGTGTGTGTGTGTGTGTTTGTGTGCTTGTTTACAGGTCTATGTGGAGTACATAGTGAAGAACCCGCTGTGCATGCTGGGAGAGACTCTGCAGAGTGAACTGTTCTCCAGCAGGCTGGACTCGTTCATCAGAGCGCTGCCCTTCTTCAGTGTCCGCGCAGCCTGAGGACCACCGCTACCACCGGGGGGCGCCAGTCTGGCTGTGTATTGTGTAAAATACTGTTTATATTCATTGCTTTTTTCTGTGCAGTCTGATTCCTCCAGCTGTCCAATGAGGTGCCTGTTCCTCCACCTTAATTTAAATATTCATGAGTAATTCCACATTCAGACTGTCTGATTGGTTGTTCTTGTTTGGATTCAGGCTGTTTGATCTGAGGACGGACTGGAGCGAAGCTGCTTTTAGCACAGTTCTCATGGTTACGGACTGAATGTAATCGTACTGTGTTCTGTGATTATGGTTTGTATTTGAGTGAATTAAAATTATTAACATGATTAAATCTGCCTTTGTTCTGACTGAGGTTATTCTTTATATTGATTATCATTAAACACATCACTGAAACTGTTGGGGTTTAGTTTAGAGTCATAATCATAACTGGAAAACTGTGTTTTATGAAGAGTGCACAGTTCAATTCCCCAAGATTGCCAAGGTGTTGCTAGTTAGTTGCTTAGTGTCCTAGTTGGTTGCTAGGGTGTTGCATCCTGGTGATGTAAGAGGGGTTTATAAACTTTTGCTAAGAGGCTTCTAGGGTGTCTCTGGTGGTTGCTAGGCTATGGCTGTGGTATTCCAGGTGGTTGCTGTAGTATATGGTTTCTAGGGTGTTGCTAGTTGGTTGCTAGGGTGTTGCATCCTGGTGACGCAAGAGTGGTGTGTAAACCTTTGGCCACAAAGCTTCACCATTCATTCCTTTGGGAAAATACAAATCTAAACCGTTGCTTTGCAGAAACTGTTCAGTCTTAAAGATGAACGCAAGTCTGCCGTTCCCGATCGGACAGTGTCCAAGTCCGCCGTTCCCGATCGGAGAGTGTCCAAGTCAGCCGTTCCCGACTGGACAATGTCCAAGTCCGCCGTTCCCGATCGGACAGTGTCCAAGTCCACCCTTCCCGATCGGACAGTGCCCATGTGTTCTGTTTGATGTGTGTGTGTGTTTGATGTGTGTATGTGTGTGTGTGTTCTGTTTGATGTGTGTGTTCTCTTTGATGTGTGTGTGTGTGTGTGTGTGTGTGATGTGAGTGTATGAGTGTGTGTGTGTGATGTGTGTGTGATGTGAGTGTGTGAGTGTGTGTGTGTGTGTGAGTGTGTGTGAGTGTGTATGTGTGTGTGTGTGTGTGTGTGTGTGTGTGTGTGTGTGATGTGAGTGTATGAGTGTGTGTGTGTGATGTGTGTGTGATGTGAGTGTGTGTGTGTGTGTGTGAGTGTGTGTGTGTGTGTGAGTGTGTGTGTGTGTGTGTGTGTGTGTGTGTGTGATGTGAGTGTGTGTGTGTGTGTGTGAGTGTGTGTGTGTGTGTGAGTGTGTGTGATGTGAGTGTGTGTGTGTTCTCTGTGTGTGATGTGAGTGTGTGTGTGTGTGTTCTGTTTGATGTGTGTGTGAGGTGTTAATATCTAATCCTTTATTAATGACCTGTTTACACACACAGCACCTCTGACTGGTCACTGCGCCGGTCAGATTATTCACTCTCTTTAATTAATGAAAATGGAATCTGTCAGTTTGCGTAAATCACCGTGGCAGCTGTTACATAAGAGGGCGTGTCTTGAATCCAGCTGTGGCCAATGTAGAGCAGATTGACCAATCCGAAGGCAGAGCCGGACCCAAACAGGGCAGCTGTAATCCGGAACGGCAGGAATATTTGGGATTAGGACAGGAATGTGGGATTACCCTCATATCAGGAGCTCAATCACGAGTCCCACAGCGGACTGTATGACCTCAGATTACGTAACTCAGGAGAGAGTCGGAGCTGGACAGCGGTCACTGTACACCAGCACTGACTCTGTTACCGTGACGACTGAGTTACTGTATGTATAGGTGTGTTTAACAGTGATGCAGGTGGTAATCAGTGATGGTAGTAAAGCTCCAGCCTTGTTCATTCATCTGTGTGTAAACATTAGAGAACAGTTTCAGTTAATTAACACACTTTAAATGAACGGATGAATTAGAGTATTGTTTAAATGAATGGATGAATTAGAGTATTGTTTAAATGAATGGATGAATTAGAGTATTGTTTAAATGAACGGATGAATTAGAGTATTGTTTAAATGAATGGATGAATTAGAGTATTGTTTAAATGAATGGATGGATGAATTAGAGTATTGTTTAAATGAATGGATGGATGAATTAGAGTATTGTTTAAATGAATGGATGAATTAGAGAATTGTTTAAATGAATGGATGGATGAATTAGAGTATTGTTTAAATGAACGGATGAATTAGAGTATTGTTTAAATGAACGAATGAATTAGAGTATTGTTTAAATGAATGGATGAATGAATTAGAGTATTGTTTAAATGAATGGATGAATTAGAGAATTGTTTAAATGAATGGATGGATGAATTAGAGTATTGTTTAAATGAATGGATGAATTAGAGTATTGTTTAAATGAACGGATGAATTAGAGTATTGTTTAAATGAACGGATGAATTAGAGTATTGTTTAAATGAATGGATGAATTAGAGTATTGTTTAAATGAATGGATGAATTAGAGTATTGTTTTAATGAACGGATGAATTAGAGTATTGTTTAAATGAACGGATGAATTAGAGTATTGTTTAAATGAACGGATGAATTAGAGTATTGTTTAAATGAACGGATGAATTAGAGTATTGTTTAAATGAATGGATGAATTAGAGTATTGTTTTAATGAACGGATGAATTAGAGTATTGTTTAAATGAATGGATGAATTAGAGTATTGTTTAAATGAACGGATGAATTAGAGTATTGTTTAAATGAACGGATGAATTAGAGTATTGTTTAAATGAATGGATGAATTAGAGTATTGTTTTAATGAACGGATGAATTAGAGTATTGTTTAAATGAATGGATGAATTAGAGTATTGTTTAAATGAACGGATGAATTAGAGTATTGTTTAAATGAATGGATGAATTAGAGTATTGTTTAAATGAACGGATGAATTAGAGTATTGTTTAAATGAATGGATGAATTAGAGTATTGTTTAAATGAATGGATGAATTAGAGTATTGTTTAAATGAACGGATGAATTAGAGTATTGTTTAAATGAACGGATGAATTAGAGTATTGTTTAAATGAACGGATGAATTAGAGTATTGTTTAAATGAATGCATGAATTAGAGCCAGCGAGACCTTCAGGGCCAAAGCTCTGTGGAGATCAGCGTTTACCCTCATCTAATGCTCTGAATTCAGTTCATTAAGGCCTTAATTAGCTGACGAGCTGAATCAGGTGTGTTTAATGAGGCGGTGAACTGAAGTCTGCAGAGCTTTGACCCAGGAGGACGGGAGTCTGACACACGTGAATTAGAGTATAGTAAAAATGAAGGAATGATTTAAGGATAGTTCAAATAAAAGGACGAATTAGATTGTAGTTAATATGAATGGATGAATTGAATGTAGTCTTGAATAAACAGAGTAAAAGGATGAATGAAATGAATGAATATGGGTTAAATAAATGAATCAGAATACAGTTTAAACAAAAATGATTATGAAATTCTGTTTGAATTGATGAGTGACAGTTTACATTACTGGATTAATGAACACATTAATGGATGAAGGAAAAATGAATGGATGAATGAACTGTAGCATAATTAATTGATTAATTGGTTAATTAACTAATTAATTCTATCAGGCAACTGAGTCTGTTTAAATAAATTAATGAATTAATAGTTTAAATGTTTAAGTGGATGAACGAATTCAATGCAATATAGATTAAATTAATTAATTAAAATATAGCGTATGCAGGTGTGTGCAAAAGTTTCAGCAGCCCAGTCGACCTCCATGTTGTTGTTGGTTCTCTGAGTGTAAATCAGTCACGTCCTCCAGAGACTCACTACTACACATTTTAATACACACTTACTGTTTATTCACTGAGTCTAACAGATCGAAGGATAAAATAAAGCAGTTATGAAAAATTTTGTTCCATATTTTTTATGAATGGGTGAATAAATCAGCTCCACTGGCTGATTCAGTGTCAGTATCTGTAATCTCAGTAATCTCACTGTGCTGGAAACCTGCCAGATTATTATACAGTCACACTCTAATCTACTGGGGGGCGGTGATGATGATGATGATGATGATGATGATGGGGTAATCATGACCTGTCAGTCAAATCCAGACCCAGAGGGCAGAGGAGGGTGAGGCGAGTGAAGGGGGATTACCCAGAGTGGAGAGTGGACACTCGGCTGGACGGTGGTCTTCAGGAGGGTCACAGTGTGAGATGTTTGCGGGTCGTGCGGGTACTGCGATGACCCCCGGCCTGGGGGCGGGGCCGAAGGGGGCAAAGTTAACCGTGAACGACCTCTACGGCTTCAACAGCAGGAAGCCCAAGCCGTCGGGGGTTGCGGAGGTCTTTGGGCGGTTTGCGTCACGACCCCGCGATGCTCAGGGTCAAGGTCAGGCTCCGAGTCAGGCTCAGGGTCAGCAGCGTTGCCGTGACGACCTCTCCTCTCAGATCCTTGAGGTGGCCCGGAGGCTGATGGAGAAGCGGAGACTGGAGCTCTACCTGAGAGAGTGCGACCTGTCCGTCACAGACAGCACCGCCCACCTCACCAACATGCCGTACAGGTGAGTCTGAACGTGTGTATCGGGTGCAGCTGGTGGGCTTAAGCCCTCTCAGGGGAAAGTCAGGCCCCCCTCTCAGTCTGAAAAAAAGGAGGACTGTGCTCAGTCGTCTTCTGTCCTGTTTGTCCGTCGCGCCATCAGTCGCTCTCTTTATTTGATTTGTTTTTATCACACACACGCATACTCACAAACACACACTCACACACGCATACTCACAAACACACACTCACACACGCATACTCACAAACACACACACACACTCACACACACACACGCATACTCACAAACACACACTCACACACACACACACACACACGCATACTCACAAACACACACTCACACACACACACACACAAACACACACTCACACACGCATACTCACAAACACACACTCACACACGCATACTCACAAACACACTCACACACGCATACTCACAAACACACACACACACTCACACACACACACGCATACTCACAAACACACACTCACACACACACACACACACACGCATACTCACAAACACACACTCACACACACAAACACACACTCACACACGCATACTCACAAACACACACTCACACACGCATACTCACAAACACACACACACACTCACACACACACACGCATACTCACAAACACACACTCACACACACACACACACACACGCATACTCACAAACACACACTCACACACACACAAACACACACTCACACACGCATACTCACAAACACACACTCACACACACACACA